AACAACTCCTTCAGGGAGGCAGGGCAGGTATTCTGGTCCATATATTCTGATGAAGAAAATGAAGTTCAGAGAATGTAACTGACTTGCCAGAAGCTAACAACAGGATCCCACTATGGCATACTATCCTTAAGCCTTATAAAGAAAGTTTTAAGTTAAGGTACTTTTTCAATTAAAACAAATACAGCGTAACCATATTTTCAAAATACTGCAAGAATTTTAAGTACAGAAACCATGACTTAGAAATGTAATGTACTATATAAATATACATGATGAAGCTGCTAAAAAATCATTTCAATTAACCAAATTCATTATATGCAGAAGTTGAGTAATTCCTTCATTATATTTAAAAGTTGCTTACCATTCCTACCCACTAAATCTTTAACAACATTTTTCCTAAATAATCCATTTTTTCCAGATAAATGTTAGGACACTTATTTTATAACTTTCATCTAATTTAGAATGTAGTATATAGCTTGTTTTTAAAAATTTAATAAATCATTTTGTCAAGTTAAAAAAGAAACCACACTCAATTTAGCCAGTTTTCCCAAAATCATTTTTAAAAGACATGTCAATACAGTTAAGACTGTATATGATACCAAATAGGTATTAAGGAGCATAACATAATTAAATCAACTACTAGAGGCACTGAGAAAATTTCATTAAAGGAATCTCAGTAAGCTAAATTCCATAATAAAATGAATAAATAATCACATTAGGAAGCACACTAAAAGTTACCAAAAATGTTCACTGTCTTCTTACAGATCCAACAATACTTTATGATATTTCAAGTTACTTCATTTTTAAACCATTACTAATCCCAGTATCACTGTTACCAAAACCAACAATGACCTCATTTTTAAAACATTTTTGTCAGGATAACATTTTCTTTCTAAAACATTACAGTCATTCTCTTCAGCCAACCCTAATGTTGAGTTTCCAAAAGTTTAATCAGCTACATTTTTTTCTATCAAATAGAACAATTGTTAAAACATTTTGCTGCCTGGGGGAACAGTATAAAAACAGTATAAAAAATAGCTACTTAAATGATAGCCTGAAAAAATTATACACTTTGTCAGGAAAAACAGCTATATTTGGTTATATGTCATCTTCCGTTACTAAGGAAGATATAAATTTTTATGTACGTCCTTTTGGTTGAAGACTAAAATATGTAGCAGAAGTCTTTAATATTGAATCAGATCACTATTAAAGAAATAGAATTAACTTATGTACTCTGATTACTAATATAATTCTCAAAGTCCTATCATTGTGCTGAAGTAAGTAGTTAAAGTATCAGGTAAAGTGGTCCTGAACTTTGACTGCAACCCAGTATACTCTATATGGAAACTATAAAGACCAGCAGAAAGCTGGTGTTGGGAGAACATGATCTGGTGAGATGATACAAAAGGTATCGTATCTATTGCCCAACTTTAATGGTGCAAAACATGCAAATGGCATGCAAGCTTCAAAGGAAATCTAAAAAAAAACCAAAAATCTGGATTTGAATTTGGGGATTCAAAGTAGAATGATGAATTTAAATAGAGGAATGAAAACCTCAAGAAAAATATGCCATCCCTACTGAAAAGAATTTAGTATATGGGGGCTGGAGGTTTAGCTCAGCGGCATAAGCGCCTGCCTTGGAAGCAGGCAGTCGTGAGTTCGATCCCCGGTACCGATAAAAAGGAAAAAGACAAAAAAAAAAAAAAAAAAAAAAGAATTTAGTATACAATAAATATATGATACTCTAAAAATACATATCTAGTCCTAAGGTGAAATACAGGCTCTTACATAATTTAGATTATTTTCTCCCATGAAATTGTAAGTGTGGTTTTAAATGATAAAACTATTACCATTTATAACCCTATGCCACATTTCTAAATGGTAGTTCTTCAGCACAGGATCAAGAAATGGTTTAGAAGAAGCACTGGTCTGAGAACAGTAGAAATTTTAACAATAATAGTAAAAACTACATTTATTAAATGCTTACTTTACCAAATCCATAAATTATCTTATTGAACTTCAAAAGAGCCTATGGAGTTAGGTATTATTGTACTACCATCATTATTTTCATTTTACAAAGAAAAAAACTCCAGCAAAAATTAATTTGCCTGGGTCACACAAGTAATAAATGACAGAATAAAAATTAAGTATTCACTGCAGTCGACCAAGTTTTAAACTGTTTGACAATTCCGTTCATTGTCTTTATATGCTTCAGTGAAGATGAAACTCTAGGAATGTCTCTAAGGCGCTTTCTACAAAAAAAGGTGGTATCCAAGCATCTTTACATTTAATTTGACAAAAACTGAGGCCTAGGAGAAATGCCCTGTGTCCAAGTTACATAGCGTTGGATATGAAGCAATACTGGTCTTGCTATTTCTTAAAGGAGAAATTCTGCTCTTTAAAATATGTTGAAGGGGGCTGGGGATTTAGCTCAGCGGCATAAGCGCCTGCCTTGCAAGCAGGCAGTCGTGAGTTCAATCCCTGGTACCGATAAAAACAAAAAAAAAACAAACAAACAAAAAAAAAATGATAAAATATGTTGAAGGTATTCAACTACGAAATTGTTTCTAAGGTCTTGCTCAGTTTTAAAACCTGTTTCAACCTAGAAAAATTTATCTAATCATCAAAAAGAAACAGGTCTACTATCTTGTGACTTAAGTAAAGTATATTTCTACAAATCCTTTATAGAATCTTAATGTAAAATAATTTTTAAGACAGTCATAGATCGATCTCAAGGAAGTAAACTATAGGTTCTCTGCCCCGAACCTTTAAATGACTTTTTTTTTTTATTGGTACCGGGGATCAAACTCACAACCATGCACTTGCAAGGCACACACTTATGCTGCTGAGCTAAATCCCCAGCCCCTAAATGACATTTTCATTGGAAAGACTTAAATTTTTTACGACTGACTTCAGACTGCGGACTAAAACCTATCGTGGATCACAAAATCAATTTAATGATTCACAAATACCATCTTTTTAAAAACTGAAAATTAGAATGCAAAAATCCTAATAATTATAGTAGAAAGCAGCTGTGCATTCAATCACGCTATCAAATGTATTTCTTCATATGAGCCTCAATCAAAACAGGAGAAAAGCCACTATGCTCAAATGTCAATATACATTTCACATTTAATACATCTGACATAAAAGAAGTTATTTAATTAGTTTGGTGGTTGATGTCACAAAAGCTACAACTAAAATACTTCATTTTCTGTATTACAGTAAAATCACTGACATATTGAAGAGCCAAGTGTACCATACATGTAATGAAATTCTAGGCATGCAAACTGATAAGTGGCTTCCCAAGAAAACATTAAATACAAAACTGTAAAGAAGCAAACATAATGTTTAAAAATATCTGAAAAAAATCAGGGTTCTTGGAAAAATGGTGTTTCAAAGTCTGGGCAGAAAAATACAAGATTAAGGGGAATAGCTTATTTTGTGCCAGAGAGCAAAGAAATAATCAAAGATTGGGTATACCCAAAGGATATGGTAGTCATCTTAAAAGTTTTCCTAGTCAGAAAATGCACAATTTGGACATGAAAAAGAACAATAACTATAACAGAATGAGACACAAACATATAAAAATTTAAGAGTTCAAATAAAACAACACTGTTCATCTCCATAATGGCTAGGATAGCTTCATTTTATTCATAAATGTGATAACTATAAGAATCTAAAGTGATGTATACCTGTAGTCCCAGCACTTTGGAAGGCTAAGACAGGAGGACTGCACTGCAAGTTATAGCCTGGCCTGGGCAACTTAGCAACCCAGTGAAATCTTGTTTTTTTTAAAAAAAGTTGGGGAGGGGAAACTACATCTTTGCATCTTAGGGCAAAGGCTCTATGGTCAACCCCCAATACTGGATTAAAAAAAAAAAACAAACTGAAAAACTGTTTTCCTCCATTATTTCCACCAATTATATTGCAGTGGCATCCAGTGAGTTTCTGAAGAAAGATTCTTCACATGAATGCCAGTTTAAAATGAAAATGGAAGCGGGGTGTGGTAACACATGCCTATAACCCAGCACTCCAGAGGCTGAGGTAGGGGAATTGTTTTGAGTTCAAGGTTAGCCTGGGCTACAAAGTGAGTTCAGGGCCAGCCTGAACAGCATAGTGAAATCCTGTCTCAAAAAAAAAAAAAAAAAAAAAAAAAAACCAAAAAAAACAAACTTAAAAAAAATGAGAATGTAGCAAAAATAACCACTAAAAGCATTACATAAAAGACTAGTAAGTAGGGAACTTTATTATGGATGCATAAAGATGGCAACACTAGAACTCAAAAATAGGACAAGGCCTCCTAAAGGGAGACAGTTAGAAAAGTATATATAAGAATGAGTATTACTACCCTGGAAAAGTCTCAATCTAATCATCCCTTGAATTTAAGAAATACAGGTATCAAAAAATGCTAAAAAAAAAAAAGAAAGAAAGAAAAAAATACTACAAAAATATAATCAGATTCTAAATATATGCAAAAGATTAAGAAGAACTTTGAATACTTACTTAAATGCTAACACTATCGACCTTCCTTTGATTCTAATTTGAACAAATAAATCAAAAAGGGGCTTTCAGGACTGGTGCAATTTGCTATATGCTAGATATCAGATTATATTAACAACTTATTTTTTATTGGTAGGTGTGATAATGTTTTATTAAAAAGTGATCAAAATTTGAAACTATGAAATTAAACATGGCACATGAATAGAAATCTAACCAGTAAACTGATACAGAGCAAATACTTAGACATACATATTTCTAAGTAAAACATTTTATCTATATGACAGATACTGGAATTCCAAACTACTAAACACAATGTCACCTGATTTTCTACCTTCAAAGAAACATATTAAGGATACCTCAGCTGAGTAAATGTCAGAGAATTATTTCTACTCCAGGATGTTTTTTCCACTAAAATGTAAACATATACTCCACACACCCACACTTTGAAATATCACAAATGTATAATGATGTTACCATAAATATTATATTAGAAAACTTACGAAATAGAAGAACTGAAGAACAAGTCTGATTCATGATTCTCGTCTTGCAGCACCGAGTTTATTTTCTTGCCTGTAGCTTTACTTATAGATGTCTTCAATTTCTTAGCTAGTTTTTTTGGTGTGTTGGTTATGGAAGATTCTTCTACACAGCAACTATACACTTCCACTTTTATTTTAAAGTCTGGTCTCGCTTCATTACTAAAAACCAGGTATTTATAAGGACAAAGTTTAACTAAATAGTAAATAAAACTGCAAAACCATTTGATAGTTTCATAACATTCAAAATCAGCTATTAAACTATGATAAAATTGTGTTTATTTAGTACCTAAATGGCCTGAGAGACACTACAGAAACAACTTTCAGACCTATCAACTTCTAAACTAACGTAACTTTATCTAACAATGTATGCAGCCATATGATTTAAAGAAATAGACTGAAGTAATTTTTTTTGATCAGCACTATTTTTCCTTTAGCAGTTCAACACTGCTGTTTTGAAGGTCTTTACATTACATGTATAATTTGCTGATATGACTGCTCCAAAACAAAATCTGAACCTCCAGTATTCATTTTTTCTTCATAGAATTACTAAGTCGGCTGGGGATTTAGCTCAGCAGCATAAGCACCTGCCTTGCAAGCAGGCAGTCGTGAGTTTGATCCCCGGTACTGATAAAAACGAAAAAGACCGAAAAAAAGAATTACTAAGTCAATTCACCATTGTGTGTGCCCTCATCCTACTTTTATACCTAATAACTACAAACAACACTTTTACTATTTGGTTATTTAGGGAAAAAAAAAACCATGAAACCAGTACAAAAGGATATAGTTCAAAGCATGAACTCCTGGAGAATAAGTGCTATCATGGTAATCCTTGTATTGTCAGCCTAGCATTGTCCCTAGAAAAGGTTCCTGATACATATTTATTAAACCAATATGAAGAAATGCTGCAATTTGAGCAAATGCTGAGATTGGCTTTACCCTTTTTCATAATGATAAAATACCTTTAGCATGAAAGACTATAGCTGTGTTATCAGCAATAAAATACATGTAAGACTGTAAAAGGGGTCCATCAGCAGCAGATGCTGACTACAGACAGCACATTCATCACACTCAGATATTAAAAATGCAACATAGACTTTTTAGATTTAAATGGCCAATCTGGAGGTTTGGTAAATCCAAGGAATAACTTCAGATATTTTTACAGCTTGTTATTTGGCAGCTTCTAACCATACAGTATTCCTGGTAATGACTAACAAATGTCAATATTTAGAGGGAAACAAGAGATTCATAAATACTGAGTACTTATTAAAAACAATCATAACAAAAAGCACATTTTAAAATACTTAGAACATTTGCTAGCAGTTATTTTTAGAACAATTTAAAATATTTACAGAATTTTTAAAAATTATAAATCATGTGCTTTCTTCCCAAGTACTTTGTATTGTTCTTTCTCTGACAAAAACAAAACCAAAAAAATAAAAAAAAAAAAACAACCAGCAAAGTGATGTGGAAAAAGAGTCCACTGACAGGATAATTTTGGCAGAAAAAAAATTTATTCTTGATAGCTGATAGTGAAAATAAATACAGTTAGATAACTTAGGAAAAAATTTTAGCCTAAATTATATACCCATTTGAAAACTGGGATTTTCTTTTCCCTTTTGGAACCTAAGCAAATTTCTCTAGTTCAATACAACTTGTAAGAATATCTACATTACTGATAATAATCCAGAACAATATAATTTATTTTTCTGTACTGCATGATTACTGTGGAACAATGCACCAGAAACCACACAATGTGGTTTGCCATAGTCTTTTAGTCCTCTGAAATATCAATTGCAGCTCCATAACTGAAAGTGGAAAAAAACACATGTAATACTGGTTTTATCTTAATAGTTCAGTAGCTATTAACATTTAGATATAAAGATAATATCTTTGAAAGCCTGAAAGAATCATGAACCCCACAATGATTTGGGCCAATAGAACTGCTCTGAAAGAAGCCAGCAAAAAACTTATGTTAGTTACAAATGATTTCAATGGCTACCTGAGGAGTTCTGGTTCTGTAGTATGACCACATAAAATGAGCTTATAAAAAAGCAGGGGCAATAAAAACAGCCTTGACGATCACCAACTTTTTTTTCTTTTCTTTCTTTTTTTTTTTTTTTTTTTTTACTGTTTTAGAGTACACACAAGAAATACACCATAAAAAAAGAACACTCTCCAAATTCTACCCAAGTGTTTTCCCTATGATACATACTGCAGACTATCTTATAGATAAACCTGTTTTACTATTTTAGTTGTTCTGTAATTAAATCTCTTATATGAGATGGAAGACCTTTTTTTTTTTTGGTTTTTCTGAGACAGGGTCTTGCTGTGTAGTTTAGGCTGTCTTTGAGCTCACTACCTAGCCCAGGTTGGCCTTGAACTCACAGTGATCCTCTTGCCTCAGCCTGCCAACTGTTGGAATTACAACAGTATGCCACCACACCCAGCTAACGAGCCACTTTCTAATCAAATTCACTCTATATAAAATAATGAAAACTATTATAATCATATTTTAATAATGGAAATATAAATATTCATAAATTTAAAAAACTTATTTGCACCCAATGAGGCAAATGTTTACTGCTAACTATAGAATTTCCATTTTTATTTTACATCACAAAATTGAAAGAAAAGTGCTTCTTTTGAAGAAAGTAATTTTTAAGATCATTTTAAACATTTAAAGATATTGATACTTCAAAAAGAATCCAAGAACTCAATAAATAATCAGGCTATAAGAATACAAAGGCCCAATAATTAGACCTTTTTTTAAAAAAGTATAACTTTAAATGTTTTTATTCCCTTAAGAGTAAAGATACTTACAATATCGTTATATTTTCAAAACATATATCTGTAACTGTTTTATCCACAATCAGCACGTCAGTATCAAAAACTTCAGCTTCCAATTTGAATAAACAAAAAATAGCATAGCGCTCAGACCCTAGAGAAAAAAGACAATACTTTAAGTAATAATACATATGAAAAATCCAATTATCTTAAAATAATCTTGAAAATGAAAAATGTGAGTTTCAATAGTTGTTAACAAATTTTTATTTTCATATTACTACAAACTTGAACACTTTTAGAGTGGCCAGCATTTTTTTGTTTTTGTTTTTGTTTTTTGAGTCTTAAATACTGTGTAGCTCAGGCTGGCCTTAAACGTGCAATGATCCTGCCTCAGTTTCCCAAGTGCTAAGATTACAAGAATGTGCTATAGTGGCTATTTGTAATACATTATTCAGCTAGAACACAACCTTAAAAGAGGAATACCAAAAAAATGTTAAAATATAGGCGTCTCAGAGGTGCAAGAAACTAGTCATTTTATTACTAGAATAAAGCCAATCAAAGCAAAACAATCTTTAAAATAAAAAATTTTAAAAATTTTATTACTAGAAAACTGCTTAAAACTCAATTAACAATAAATTTATTACTATATACAAATATTATTTCTGTCATTTTAGTATTCAATTCTGTTTAAGAACATGTTTTTTATTAGAAGAAGTTAAGAGTACACACATTGATAACACCAAAAAATTTTTTATCAAACTGAAAGCAAAGCAGGAGAGATAAAGAATAAATGAATAAATGAAGTAGACATGGAAAAAACATAGCTGGTGGATCTTTCAATTTGGTGATATTTTTAAAAAGTATTAGGTGATTTAAAATACTAAATCTTTATTATTGTGAAACTGTAGCTCTTTAGAAAAACTTATTCTCCTTTAGAAGTCAGAAAGATTTATTTAATTCCCACATGCATTCCTTTGTAAATTACATTTCCTAATTGAATAACAAACACTAACTTGATTTTAAATTCTTCATATAAAACTAATTATACTCAATATAATTCAGTTTTTAAAATATGAAGAATAAAGCTATCACTATAGAAAAGAGAGATAAAGGATTACCGTATCTTTTGCTTCTGACAGCTAGAAATCATTTGAGGTTAATTTCTATGACCTATGCAATACATAGATTTGTGAAGAGTATATAAAGCCATAAAACAAAATGCTAAAGGAAAAAAATGAATCAAGTTTAAAACTTTATTACATGCTTTTATATAATCTGAAGTAACAAAATAAGGCACAAAAGATCTCACAAATTCTGTTAAACAAAAGAAATGTCGCCTTTACCTTTATTCCTTAAAATTTTCTTTGGTTCCCTATTTTCTTCATGGGTCTGCACCCTGAGGGCACTACTAACTAACCTCGCCCAGATTCTATTAACTTACAAGTACAATTGATAAGGACTGTCTTAATTAATAAAGGGATTGTAACATTTATATTAAAAATCAGAAATAGTTCAACAGATTCTGCTTATTCTGTCAAATGACATCAATTTATTTCAGTGTGGAAGAAGTCTTTTCCTCAATAATCACAAGTTTACTATAAACCAAAGAGAACATTTCAATTATAAATTAAGATCATACATACATTCTTTATTGCTGAAGTGATCAGAGTCTTTCCACATTAGTGGTATTCGAATATCTATAGAAGCAGAGAGAAAAATGACAAGTAATAATTTTGGTAAGTTTTACATTGATATGAACTCTGAATTCCATAATAAACTCTGACATTAAAGCCAAACTAAAATATAGTCACTTAACAAAATATTTTACAGATATGCTTATGGTTTATAATTTTAAGTTACTTAATATACACTGAGCATGGTGGCAAACAAATTCCAAATTCCAGTTCAGTTTGGGCAATTTTCAACTTAGTGAAACATGTTTCAAAATTTAAAAAGAGCTAGGAATGTAGATCAATCAGAAGGCCCCAGTACCACACAACACACACAAAAAGTTACTTAATGTATATGAGATTTGGGAATATGTAAGGTAAAAATATAAATATTACTCTTACTAAACAATTATTCTGGCTCCATGTATACATCTTTCTCTTCCTCATTGATTTATGCTGCCACATAATGTCTTGACATGACAGTTGGAGTAATGTCTATACCCTGATCATACATTGTATGCATCTAATTGAATTATTTATTACTACCATATATATCCTAGTATCAACACCACACTATTAGAACAATTGTGTCTTTACAACTTATTTTACTATTAGAAATATTTTTTTCCTGACAGTATCTTATTCTAGTTTATGAGTTTTAGGACTGTTTTGCCAAAATCTTACCTCCCAACCACTTTATTAGTATTGGGTTCAATTATCCAAATTAATTTGAAAGCTAATAACTATAATACTCTGTCTTTACATAGATCAATCTTCACATCATGATTCTTAAATATTTAATATTGCAGACTTTTTGCGCCATTGTTTTTTGTTTTGTTTTAGTACTTTTTTTTTTTGTTTTGTTTTTTTTTTTGGAGGCAAGGTCTCATTTTGTAGTACAGGTTGGCCTTGAATTCACATACATAGTCCAGGCTGGCCTTGAACTAGGTGCTACCCTCCTGTCTCAGCCTTTCAAATCCTGGGGTTATAGGCATAAGCCTCCACGGCTGGCTGTATCTTCTAGTTACTTATTTTCTAGTTAGTTAAATGATTACTGCTTTTTATAGATTTATCTTAAACCCAGGCACTTTTTACTGAATTCCTTATTAATTCAAACAGTTTCAGTAAACTCCGTTAGGTTTTATAAGTCTGTAATCCATTATCTTCAAAGAGTATTCATTTGTCTATTCATTTTCATTAGTTTCATCCTTTACTCTTATTATCTTAGCTAGAATTTCCAAAACAAAGTTATATTAATATAGTGACATAATATAGTGTTATTGTTATTTTGTTCTTGATTTTAATGCCTTTATTGTTTTATAACTGTGACTTGGCTGATATCCTGTCAAAAAGCCCCTTCTCGCTTGACCACAGTTGCTGACTCATTTCATTTCACAACTGTCCTTGTTCACAGCTGTTCTGGCTCTACTGAGGTGGCATAAGCTATTTATACTGTCTGGGGAAACATGGACCCTGACTTCCTCACAGCCTATGGTAGTCTTGCCCTTTCCCATGCCTACCTAAGTCAGCTCTCCAAGACGAGATGGTGCATGTTTCTTCTCTATTCCCCATGTGATCAGGTACTGTTCAGACACCAAAGTTAAGCCACGACTTACCAACTGTGTCTCTTAATTCACCTTTAAATGATGCAAATTTTTTCTAGACTCTTGTAAATGACTGATTCAGTTTTAGCTTACATTACTCTAACCTTTGTCTTTTCTTACATCTCCACTGACGTTTAATGGTAAACTGAGGGAGTCATAATAAACTGGCTAAAGTGATTTTATTAGGTATTAGAAACAGATCATTTTCAAAGGTGAAAATTGAGGGCTGGAAAGGAGCTCAATGGTAGTGGGCTTGCCTGGTATATGTAATGCTCTGAGTTCAATCTTCAGCACCTCAAAAAAAAAAAAAAAGTGAAAATTAAGCGAACTATGTGATCTGTTTTAGTCATTGAATTAGTAGTCAGTGAAAAGCCTAAGACAATTATCATGATGTTATTATGTGTTGCTTGGCAGGAAGAATAAGGATAAATCTGTTATTCCTTAAATAAAGACCTGGCCACTACTGGAAGCCAGAAATGGAAATGTCCAGGTCTCTCCAGGCTACCGATATAATCTCAGAAACATTAGGAAACTTTGCTGTAAATATTCCTTTTGGTCAAAATAAAAGACACGTTTTCATCCTAGTATCAAATGAAAATGCATTTATAAACGTGATTTTTGTTTTCATAAATACACAGACAAGATGCAATTAAGTATAGTCAAAAATGAAAGGAAATTACATACGTACCCCATATTCTAAGAGTTTCAGTTCCTTAGTTTAATTTAAAATTATCTTTTGAAAAGAAGAAACGTATGCAGAAATAAGTTCAGTTTCTATAGATTGGGAACTTGTGTTCATGAAAAATGTTTTTCTTTTACTTTAAATGGTTTTTCCTAAGACTCCTTCTAAATGTACAGTTATGTCTAATAGCATGAATTGTGGCAGTCAATAAACCACAATAGATGTTGAAATTATGAGATAGTTGTAGTCTTCAGTAGCAATATAACATATCTCAAGTATCCTGAGTAGTGCCACATTAGAAGACAAGGATTATGCTTAAGTATTTGTACAAAATTCCCTTTAAAGATCCATAATATTTTATTCATTAATGTTAAAAGTTGTTAAACAGTGAAGAACTACTATGTTGGGCAGTCAGAGGATACAAGGAAATATAAAACATGTTTTATATCAATCTTATAATTGGAAAGATGAAAACATGAATATAACAACTATACAACAGGCAGTAGACATTTATATAGTTGTTTTCTAAAGAATTTTTTACTCAGTTGAGGGTAATTTCTGATGTTAGCCAATGTGTGCTAAATAAAATGCAGGTCTATCTTCCTGTATAACTTTTGCTAGCTCTGAAGTGAGTTGTGAAGACAGAAATGGAAAACAGTTGAGTGACAGGGTCTGAACTGTAGTAATGGTCTCCCTAAAACATATCTCTTAGTCAGGGAAATAAAGTAATTATTACTTAAGGAGTGATGGAGGTATAAACAGTTGTTTCCAAAATGTGCTGATGAGATGATATTTGTGAAAGTGCATCACTGCAGTCAGCTGTGAGTACATTTCAATCCACCCGATCTGGGGGCCATTATCTTTGACTTCCTTGACACTTTGGAGAAACTGAGACTACACAACATAAGTGCCATCTAGTGGTAGAGGGTCTCCAACTGCATTAGTAATTCAGAGAAAGGAAGCATCAGTTCTAGCTGGAATGATAACAGAACGTTTTATAGATGAACAAACACATCTGATATACAGTTATCTTACAAGCTAATTAGGCATTTGAAACCTGGGGTTTGTTGACAGGAAAAGGAAATAAATGTCTGTCTAAACAGACAGCATATGTACAGGCATCACAGAAGACAATGGCTAAAATAAGAACTGGGTCAAAATCGAAAACTTGGAAAAAAAGTGTAGCCTTTTTCCCTACAGGTGATAAGAAAGTAGTTACCTACGTGCCACTTGCTGTGCAAGCTTCTGGGTATAAAGTGATGAACAACATAGATATGATTTCAACCCCCATAGAATCAAAAAGGGATAGAGTCAACTAACTTGGGTTTTACAGCGAAGGTCAGTGACTTCCAGCTAGCCACTTAACTTCTAAGAATCAGAATAATTATCCTATTCATTTTACAAGGCTGCACTGAAGAGAAAAACCACCTAATATATGTAAACATTTTTTCAACCTGGACAGTTCCACATATATATAGAACATAATGATCAAAGCAAAGCTTTAGAACAAATATTTTGATAAACATATGAAAAGGCTAGGAGGAGAGAATAAAAAAAATATCGACTCTAGTTACTTTAAAGAATTTATTTAGCAATATAAAATGATCCATGCACAGCATACCTGATATGGCAAGCTTTCCTTTACATGCTGTTCGTTTTCTGCTTTCAAAATTCATATCACTGTCAAAAGAAAAATTTAAAACAAAATACATCTTTGTAAGTCTTTCACATGTCAAAATATTAAAATAAATATATACCCATGAACTATTTGACTCAAAATTTTAAGATTGCAACAGCTAGAAAGATTTAAAAGAAATACACTGAGCCATTCTCTTGATTTCTTACAAATTTTGTATTTCCTGATTATTGTTGTGCTAGCTTCTTTACAATGAAGGCTTTTTTGCTGTACTTTTAAACAAGATGTTAATTTGTCCAGGTCCCAAGAAGTGTAATTACTTGGATCACTATTTTACAAGTTATATTTCTAGCTTACTAGATTTAGGGTCCTAAAAAAGTATACTTTCTAACATGCAAAATGCTAAGAGTACCCTACTTATCCACATAGAATCTGAAGAATAAAAAAGAAAAAAATGACATTACATTTATAGGCAGTTAGTAGCACATTCCATTTTTCCAAAATTCCAAGGAACTAAATATTTACTAAAGCACACAATAAAATAATTAAAGTGGGAAAGGAAGTGAGTGAACACAAATGTGGAAAGGAAAATATCTTAACAATGGAAAAAATTTCAAAGGAAAGTCTGGGGACATTAAACACTTCCAAACCTGATGTTAGAATATACTATCATTATGGGAAAAAAAAAGTTTTTAAAGTAGATGTTTCAAAGTAGATGCTAGATCAAAATAATTCCCTATCCTTAAACATGTCCCCAATACCCCATTTCCTATTAACTTGCATTGAGAAATCAGCATTCCATTTCTAAGACAATATTTCCATGAGTATCTTTGTGTTTGTTTGTCCCTATTCAATTTGGTTAGCTAATTGACTGTCAGCCAATTTAATTAGGTACTTCAAACATGTGATAAGATGGAAACTTTCTATTTGAACACTTTGATTCTGCAAATTTCTGGAGAAAGATTGAGTGCAAGTTTGAAGTGGGAAGTTACATAATTTCCTGAATGCAATGACACTAACTCATTGCTTTCAGTAACCAAACTAAAAACTACCCATCTACTTTCATGAATGTATCCAAATTTGAAAATAAAATATATCATTTACTTTTTTACTAAATTAAAGACAAAGGTAATATAGCCAAAGCATATTTCACATGAGGTACAATAATTTACTGACATACTCGAGTAGATAAGTTTATGCAGGACATTTACACGGTATTTATAGAATCATACATCATGCATGAGAAAAATAATGTAGATTTAAAGTCATATAGTTTCAGAATGCTACCCAATCATTTTATGTTTATATGTGGTTTTTCGGGACTTCACTCACTGAAAAATATAAGTAGACAATGATTATAGTTCAAAATAATGTTTCATTGAATTACAAATTTAAGAGTCCAGATCAACATTAAAGTTTAATTTGCTATTTTGGAAAGTATCTTTCTCATTGCTTCATCATAAAGTAGAAAGTTTATTTGAATAATCTAACACGTATTTTGGTTAAATAATACAGTAAAAGGACCACTAGAAACCAAACACAAATTTCAACTTATTCAAATAGGTACAAGAAATTCTACACAAATACCATTGATTGGCATTTGTAAGTACTATATTAAAAAATATATATATGAGAATGTATGTTTTTAAAATATTTATTTCAATTAAAAATGCAAGAAGCTCTAAGATGATAATTTATGGAATAGTTGTAGAATATAGTAAAGGTGAATAAATTAGGCATTATTAAATTTTAGGCTTTGGTTGGTAAGTGAAATTCTGAAAACCAGAACCATCAAAGGCAGACTTGTTATTTACCAACCCCTCCAAAAGCAAAGAATTTCCCCATACAAACTACTCAACTTCCTGGCCAAGTCTAGCTTCCTTAAGTTTGTACAGGTATTTTTAGGATGATTCGAAAACTTACTGTACACAGATATTATCAAACTATAATCTAAATCCAATTAAGCGTAGTTTTACAGAATAATTTCGTCTTAAAGAAAGTGAGAGAAGAACTCAGCCTTAGTTTTCTGAAGTGTGAACTCTTTTCAATTTAAGTAAGTCTCTAAACTGTTACTTAGGAACTAAAAAGTGATGTTTTTCTAATTAATCCAACCTGACAATGAAATTGTTAAACATTATCTGTTTAATAATGTGCTACTGTAGCTAATATTTTGTTACAGTTAAATAAATACTTGTTTGAATAACTACACTGTTAATGTCAATTCTGAATGCTAAATTAGAGCGCCAGCCTAAGGAAAAAGGAAATAATCCTAAAATTACTGAAACAATACACAGCTAAATAACAATTCACTTTATTTACATGAACCTAGTTCAGAACATTATTTTGGCAAGACCTGCAAATGCCCATTGAATAATAAACATATAAAAGACAAGTTTTCAGTTTTCTTATATTTGTCTGTAGGTAAATAAAATGACCAACAGAGGGTGCCAATCGGCTACTCTGCTGCTCAAAATTCTGTATTAAAAATCAACTGAATAAATACACATTATCCTATTTCAGACTGTCCTATATAGGAGTTTAAAATAGCACCTGTGTCAAAATTTAACAAGCTATAATGTAAAGAGCACAATGATGAAAGTATTTTATATTTTCTTAATGCAATTCTAAAAGAATTTGAAATGGTAGTCTGTTGAAAGCAGGTAATAAAATCCTTCACCTTTTATGCAAATAAGTGAAAACTAAAATACTCAGAAATGTTTACTGTGGAATTTTAAAACCGTCCTAAAACTATACAGTATAAAATTAATAGCTTCATAAATATCTTTTTTTAAATTTTTATTTAAAGAAAGACTAAACAAAACAGAAAATAGGTAGAAATAGTACATACATTCAGAGAAAAAAATAAACAGTAAGAAATCACTAGTTGATGTTATCGTTTTACAAATAGTTGTTCAAGGTACAAAAATGGAACATGTAAAGTGGGAATTCAAACAGAGAGACTGCAAAAAGTTCTGTTCAACTGTCAAACAAAAACTTAGTAACATGGTTGTAAATCCTATACACTTAAACATTCATGCAGTTATCCATATCTTCATTTATGTTTAGATTAAACAAACTAAAGCAGGTTAAAATCATTCTGAACAAAGAATAATAATATTGCTGGATTTCACATCATGACACTCCATGATCAGCACAGGGTACTGTAGTGTCTTCTTTTTAAAATTGAATTTAAAGAAAGACTAAACAAAACAGAAAACGGATAGAAATAATACATTATTTCAAAGAAAAAAACAAAAAGTAAGAAATCACTAGTTGGTGATTACAGATTATCTTCTTACAAATAGTTGTTCAAGATACTAAAGTGGAGCATATAAAGTGGGGATTCAAACAGTGAGACTGCAACCAGTTCTGTTCAACTATCCAACAAAAACTTAGAAATATGGTTATCAATCTATACACTTAAACATACATGCAGTTACCCATATCTTCAATTATGTTGACACTGAATAAAGCCAAGCAGGCTAATATCACTCTGAACAAAGAATAACACTATTGTTGGGTTTCACATTATGACACTCCAGGATCAGCACTGGGTATTTTAGTGTCTCTTTTTCTTCAAAGCATCTGTTCATTTCATCATGTGTCATAAGATCAGTTCTCATAAACTGTTTATAGATTCTACACATGCATGAGTCTTAACATGTATTTCCTTTTTTTAAAAATTTTGAAAGTAGTAAAAATGCAACAGCACAAGACAGAACAAAGCCAGGCGAGACAATGCAGTGAAACTGGTACAGGATTTCACAGTAGGATCCTGGGATAGTAGTAATAAGCACTATGGTATATCTCTTTAACTTAACAATAGTTGTCCAGTCAATTAGGTATTGTAAAATCTAACAAAAAATAGAACATTATAAAACCAATTGAGAATACTGAATAGAGCAAAAGAAACATAACAAAACAGTGAAAACAACCTATGCCTTCGAACAGAAGATAGAAGGAAATCCTCCACATTTGCTATACTGCATATGGTCATCCTCCAAGAGATGTTGAAACATCTATCCCCTGTAGCTATGGAGGGAGGGGACAGGCAGGAAAAGGGTGCTTGTTACAGCTAATGGTTCTCCTCCAGGCCCAAGCTGCAGGTGCTTAACAAGAGAGTGGATGAATAAGATGCCTGAGTCCCTCCATGGCCGGTTCTCTGGGGTTCTGTTCTCCTTGGCCCACGCTACAGGCGCTTGCCAAGAGAGAGGGTGAATAAGCTGCCTGAGTAAATATCTTAAATCTACTCCAAATGTGATATAAGAAGTCCTTTTTTCAAGACACATCACACTTTCTAAAGCTTTTTTAAAAAGATAGTACTGTTTTTAAACCAGGCATAGTGCTATATGCCTGTAAACCCAGCATTCAGGAGGATGACTGCAAATTCAAGGCCTGCAAGTTCAAGAACCTGCAAGTTCAAGATCAACCTAGGCTACACAGTGGACTCAAGGCCAGTCGGCACTACATAGAGAGACCTTGTCTGAAAACAATACAAACAAAACAAGTAATGTTTTTAAATATGTTTCATACTGGAACTACGAAAAGTACAAACCCTTTCACTTCCAATACACATTTTCTTCTTTTAATTTATAGTACATAGGCAATAAAGTAGGAAACAGGTACACAGTAATCACATAAAACTTACAGTTATTTGGCACCAGTAAAAGTCACAATTATGTTGAATGATATACATAATTAAGCCCTATAAATTACTCTAATTACCATCACTTTTTGATACAGAATTTAAAATCTCAGAATTTAAGTCAAGAGATGGATCGGGTTGAGCAGGGGTAGAGGGATGGATAGATAATACTACTAAAATGCAACTTCTGTGAGTGCAGGGTTTGGGGTTTTTTGTTTGTTTTGGTCTATTTTGTTTATTGCTGTATAACAAGTACACAATTTAATACATTCTAAGCTACTCAACATTCAGAGATTGCTCCAAGAGATAAAAAATATGCTCGCTATGATGGAGCACACAGTAGATATGGACTCTTAAATCACAGGATTGGATTTGATTCATTATTAACTAGTTAGGGCA